TTTAAATGTAAAAAAAATGTTTAAAGTAATGCAACATTTTAAAATGTAAAAAAAAAGAGAGACAAAAATGTAAAAGCCATTTGATAAAAGTAAGTTTTGAGTGATGATTAAAAAACAGATAGTCCTGTTTCAAATCTGATTTCCTCAGGTGAACTATTCCAGATGCTTGGGGCCCCGTCGCCATCACTTCAGCATTGAGGGGCCTTATCTGAGGATCTTAAGCTACGAGCTGGTGAGTACTGATTTAAAAGTACAGCCAAGCACCATATTATGAGACCCTGCATAAACTAGCGGCTTGGGTGACTCCCTGATGACATCATTTCTGGTTCCGTATAAAAAGGCAGTCATAGGGCTATATCCTGTCAGAGACCCCCAGCTGCTCTCTGTACTGTAGCCCGAGCATCATGCGTGAAATTGTGCATCTGCAGATCGGACAATGTGGCAACCAGATCGGCTCAAAGGTAACAGAGTAACATTTCTTTTCTGTTGTTTGTAGTAGTAGTGGATTTGATACACATTCAGCCTGACTTTGTTAAAGATGTTGTTGTGTTCTGTTTATGTCCAGGACCCAAATCACAACTTACAATGTTTCTTTGAGAATAATTTTAATCAAGTAGTAGAATATAAACTTCTAAAAAACATAACAGCTGAATGATTGAACTCACTGTTTGAAGGAAAATTTGATTGTTTTTGTTTTGCTACATTGAATGTATTTAATGTATCATAAATAATTACATAAAGAATTAAATATCATCACATTTAAATTTAGATTATGAATAATATTTACTGGTCCTTTGCATGTTGCCAACAGCAGTTGTGAGTGATACTGGGTGTTCCCTGTCAAACCGTTCAGGGAAAAGATAAGGGCCAAAGCCAGACTGGCATGGGTGGGACATATTTTATCATGGCTACCACAAAAAACAAGACAGGAACTCCAAGATAGTACAGCTTAAGCTAAAGTTGCAAATGAGCTATTACATCAAATGTCCTTCCATTGAGGGAAATCAGGGATTTTTAAACTGTATCAGCACAAGATTGTGAGGAGTCACATGAGAAGCTGTGTTACAACTTGTTTATTTATCAGTTCTACACTGAATGGAAGTAAATTCAAAAGATATTTCCATAAAACTGCATTTCAAAATATGAAGAGATGTAAATATTTAAGCATAAAGGTAAAAT